CTTATTTGCAGGAATTATCAAAGACTGTTTGTCATTGGAGGCATCGAAGGAGTGCGGGACTTATGGAGGCTTGCGGTTTGCTTGTGGATTTGAAGTGGTGCGATTGAGCTTGGTGCTTGCATAAACACTAAATCAATTTGGACTTAATTTTTGAGCGAGAATGATGATAAGGCGATGGAGAATCGAGCTACAGAAGATTGAAGGAACATTGGATCAATCATTAAAGGCTTTGGAATGACATAAATAGGATCTAAAGAGTTATGCATGTGGGCTGAAGTGTGAATGAGAAGATTGGGCTAGATTGTATTTTAAATGGCCCAAGTCCCACAATCAGCGAGACCCAAGCGGTCCGCATGGACCCTAACGTGGTCAGCGTGAATTGTGTTGAGTTGATCCCGAGTTTTGGTTTGTTGAATCTATTTGTGGAAGGTTGGTGGGTGGCTTTTGGCACCTTTTTGAATCCTAAAACCAGCTCCTTTTCGCTGGAGATTGGAGGTATTGTTTGACATTATCACTTGAAGAACACACACAATTCTCTCTCAATAAGGCTTTGGAAGATTTAAATATTTTTGGAAGATTAGTGTAATTTCTTTCCATCTTGAAACTAAGACAATGATTGGTATCACTAAACTATATTGCATTTACTTTACTTTGGCCATGCTTGGCTAAACTTTCATTTGGTTGATTAGGGTTTAACCCATGGATGATTAGTTGCTTTGAAGACTTATTATTATCTTGTGTTTGAAGTTTATGGAAATGTTTTCTAGTTAAACATCTTGTTGTGTTTATTTATCCTTGATCATGAGCTTGGATGAATGAATACTTATTTTTGTTGACTAATTACTTGGTTAAGTAATGGAACCTCAAATTAGTAAGCAACAAATGGTTTATATGTTTGTTTTCATTTCATTTTTAGACCATGGAAATGTTTTGATAATGTAAGAATTTGATTATCTTTTGGACTTGGTAACTCTTAGAACTTAAAGCTAATTGATTTTCACAAGATTATATGCTTCATTGATTTTTTAACTTTAATTAAGGGAATGTGTTAGAGCTTCTCTAACCATTTTAATACCTAAGAAGAGTTGAAGTAATTTGTGCTTATGAATTGCTATTGCCAAGTTAAACCAATTCACAAGTGTTATTCCATTTAGCATAATGATAAGTCAACCATGTCATCCATGTGGAGTATCCCAAAATAAACCAATTTCACTTTTTGAATTTAATCAAATCTTTTACTTGTTTACGTGTCATATTTTCATTCTAGCTAGTTTTAATTTTGTCAAACAATAAAAAAGAATTAACGCCCCCCCCCCCCCATTTTACTTCTAATTTTGTTTTACAAGTATTTTATAAAGGGATTTTTCATAGAGATATAAAATTGAACCAATCTCCGTGGATACGATCCCTTTACCACTATACACTATTTTAGTGTGTAATATTTAGGGTTATTAATTTTGTTGGCCTTGACAACAACCAACAATCATCAATAAGACATCTCCATCTCACATCCAATTTATTGTTATCATTCTTAAAGCTTATAAGAAACTTATTGAAACAATTCTAAACTCCATGTCATTAGAAATTTTAGGATAGACCTAAATTTTAGACATGTAGTAGTATAAACATTGTAATTAAATTATGAATATATGATATTCATATATGACTACTAATGACACATATGAAGTTCTCATCTTGAACCTATATATAGATAACATTCAAATTTTAAATAAGTGAGAATATATAATATTAACATATAATAATAATGACACATAATTGCAATTGCAATCATGGAACTACAAATGAACAAAATTCACAATTTAATAAAAAAATATTTAAAAATTATATATGACACAAAAATTAAATTTATTGTTATAGACATTTAAAAGATTAAATTCATAACTTCGTAAAAAGTAATATGTGATATTTATAGCTGACAAAGCCAATGATGCTTAGCTGCTCTTTTCGAACGATCAACCACATTGGGACTAAGACATGGTTCGGACTCCGTGGGGACAACAGTGGAGAATCTTGACTACTAAGAGCATCCACAATGCAAGTAGTATAAGAGTCGAATATGATGATGACTACGATTGAACAGGATTTGAATAGAGTGTGGGTGATGACATATAGTAGAGTTGAATGGAAGAGTTGAATGATCATTGAATGGTTCAATAGAAGGAATAAAGTGGTGTTAGGATTGAATAGGTGTTTAATAGGTTGTGGGTGGTGTTGTGTAGATGTTTAATGAATGACATGACAATCCATTGAACTCTATAAAGTTCAATGGGTTGTGGATGCCCTAATGACACATGACTAATTAAAATATAATATATATGAGTATTAAAAAAAACGAACTATAGACATCATATTTCTAACATGCTATATGCATAAACTATGTGATTTTAGAAATATTTATTCTATGTACAATTGTCATTGCAATATCTTCATCACTAACAACCGGTGTAAGTTGTTTTCCAAATGCTTTCACGAATACAATAGTTTTACTACTTAGAAGGATATTAGTAAAGGTAAAAAAACATTTGAGACCAATGAAAACACATAAAACTAAAATTTATATAAAAAAGTTAATATTATAACAAATTTAATATAAATAATTACCTGTTTGTCTGAAACGTTGTATCAAAACACACAAAATCCCCTAAATCTCTTTAGTTAGAATTTAAAGCCTTATTGACCAAAAGCAACAAAGTCGACCCTCCATTCTCAAATTTATACCCAAAAGTGAAGTTTGGAACATGTTTGTTCCGTTTTCCATTTTTTTCCACCAAAAATTGTGTATGGTCCTTCCTAATAAAGCAATTAACTTTTCGAACATTATTATTATAATTAATACAAATATCTCCACCAATATTGTAACGACTCTTTAACTTTTGCATTGTTATTGTTGCCCTAATGTGTAAAGTTCACATCTTTTGAATATAGGTTTGTTTAGAGAAGTTCTTGTTCATCTTTAAAAGATGCAAGTTTCATTTGCTGATCAAACTATAGTTTTTCATTACTTAAAAGATATAAAGTTCACATTGCATGGATGCATGCACTTATATGAATTTAGCACAAGCTTTGCATTTCATTCTTTTGATATTGGAATTTCTCTAAGGCTTGTTATTTTTATTATCGATGATGTCTAATAGAACAATAACATGAGCTCCTTTTCTAATGCACAACATATACATATGTTTAGGAATTCTATGAGTTTTTTTTTCTTAGTCAACCTTCTCAAACCAAAACCGTATTTAACAACATACTTCTTATACATAGGTATTCTAGGATCAATGTTTGGATATTTGGTAGACTTAATTGCAAAAATGGTCCCTGTGGTATGCAATTTTTTGGGGTTTTGGTCCAAACCACGAGTTTTTTGGTTTTGTGGTCCTTTTGGACTGGTTTGTTTGTGAGAATGGTTCCTGTACTTAATATCCGTTAAAAAGAATATGTTAACCCCCTCATGTGCCTTGCACGTGAGGGTATTTTTGTCTTTTTACTTATAGGGACCATTTTTGCATATGGAAAAATAAAACATCCTTTATATATCGTTTTCTTTTCCGAACTTCTTCCCGAATGTTCTTAACTGTTCTTCCCTAACGACTATTTTCTTCCATTTCTCCTTCCTGACTTGCAATCGAACAATGGTGGTTTGTTTTTGTGAAAAGTTTGCTTTGGTGAAAACGTCTTGGACACCACTGAGTCCCGGAAGGAGGTTTTATGTTTGCCCTACTAAGGATTCTGTTTGTAGGTTTATCGGGTGGGTTGATCGGCCTATGTGTGCTAGGAGTAAAACCATCATACTTAATCTTCTAAGAAACATAAATACGTTGGAGGAAAGATGTAATGGGCTGGTAAGAAGTATCAAAATGTTACAGGAACAATGTAATGGACTTTTGAGTAGGAACAACATGTTGGAGGCAAGGTGTGATACATTGAAGGATGAAGGTTTCAAGCTGAAGATGTATTTATGTGAAAGCTGGTTTATGTTTGTGATTGTTATCTTTAGTATTTGGTCTATGTAAGGGATAGGGTTATACAAATGTGGGGATTTTTGTTGATCAAGTGATGCAGGGTAAAAATGGTATAATTTTGTTGTAATTTGACTTCATCATGTTTGTAATGAATTCCAATGTTGTTAATGATATAAATGATATTGAAGTGTGAAAATGTGTATCAATTGTCAAATATAAGCACATAAATAGAACCAAAAGTAACAAAAGTACATTACCAAAATATGTGTCATAAATTGACCAAAATGCACATTCCATTAACCACATGAGTGGAACCAAAAACCATTACCAAGTTAAGCATACAAGTGTCTGTGCACCATACATAACCACATCATCAAACCGTAACTAAAGTTTTCAAAAAAAACAATTTTTAACAACAAGCAACTAAATAGTCATTGCACCACAAAAAACAACCAAAATCACTTCTTAGATTGATTCCCACCTTGCTCTTTACAGGTCCTAGAGTTATGTCCCTTATTCTTGCATTTGCTACAAGTAACACTGATATGTTTCCTTGATAGCTTCTGAACTCCATCATTTGTTGGCCCTTGGGAATGTTCTCCTTACATCTGATTGACTCCATCACCTTGACTTGCCTTCTGCCTTTTTCTTAACCTTTCACCCTCACTTTGTCTTCTTTTTTTCTTAGGTCTTCCCACCTGAGTGCGATGTGGAGGAGGGATTAGCTTTGTTGGACAATTACTTTTAGGCCACATGGGTCTCCTTTTAATTGTTTCCACCTTAAATGAATAAGCTTTTTGCCATGTCTCTAGCCAATACACCTTGTGTACCCACTTGTAAATTTCAAGCTCAGCCTCAGGATCTTTGCTCATTTCAATCAGAGTTGCAATTGCATGCCTGCAAGGTATTCCCATTAATTCCCATTTTCTGCAAGTGCAGTTTTGGTTCCTAACATCCACCACATGCAGTGACTTGATACTTGTTTGCCCCATTCCACCTAGCAATATATTGTGAAGCACCTTATTTCCTTGCATCTAGGATGTCTGTTGCTGTAGGTGTTAGTTGACCTTTAGCCTTCTTCATTGCCTTCATGACATTGCATATCCTCTTCATTATGTACTCCATAATGAACTCTAAACATGAAATTATAGGTTTGTCCCTGCCTTTCTCTATCTTCCCATTAAACACTTCACACATGTTTGAAATCAACACATCAGAAACAACTCTTCCTGCACATTACAATAACATAAAATTAATGCTGATAAATAACTGAAACATAATCATTAGCATATGCAAACATATACAATTACCTAAGAAATGACTCCTTGCCCAATGTACAGGAGAAATCTGCTTCAACCATTGACATCCCTCCTTATAATACTCACTAAACTCCTTCAAAATGCTCAAACTCAGGAATGGTGGTTGCTGCTGCACACCTCCATAAATGGTCCCTGTACTTAGTTTGCCCCCACGTCTTTCTCATATTATCATGAATATGTCTAATACAATACTGTAATGCTCGTAGATCCGGGCTAGTCAATTTAGAGACAATAAGTGTCGAAAACAACTTTTCAAAAAAAGATTATTTAGAATAAATAAATTGAACCAAAATGTAGTATATTTCACAAGGTTTCCGTACATATAAAGAACGCCGAAATCCGAGTTGTAACGAAGAAGTTATGACCCGTCGAAGTTTCGTGATACAATCGACACGATACTGGGAAGCGTAAATAGTGAATTTATGATAGAGCGAGATTTAGTCTTAGCGATCTAAATGAAAGTCGTAGAATACGTTAAACCGAGAGCGTCCATAAAAAGATCGCCCAAATCTGACTTCGTATGAGGAAGTTATGATTTGATGAAGTTTCGGATTAGAGGTGTACAACCCGAAATTCGAATATTAGATCGAGTGGTTTTTAGCCGACACAACCTAAATGAGAATTGAAGATCTCTTTATTTTTAGCGTAACGATAAAAAGACAGATGAAAACGGACATCGGATGAAGAAGTTATGAATTTTTAACAGACTAATCCTGTTCCGACCTGTTAAAAATATAAAATTTAAAATAAATTCAAAACTAGCCGACGAAGTCTAAACAAAAGTTGTAGATTACATTCCCGCCTTCACGTGGATATAAAGAACGTCGAAAACGGAGCTCGTATGCGAAAGTTATGATTTTTCTAAGCCGGGAGGGTGCTGTGCGAGTTTGGGTGACGTGGCGCGATCACAACCGTTGCTTCCTCCCCAAGGCTAGCCACCAGATGGTGACACGTGGCACATTACGCCCAGTGTAATTTTGAGTACGCTCAGCGTAACCATTATGCTTAGTGTAATTTTTGAGTACGCTCGGCGTACTCAGCGCGGGTAGCCTATAAAGAGAGGTGCAAATCTCCCATTTTCTTCACAACTCTCCACTTCTTTCCTCCCAAATACCCCAAACCTTCAAGGGTTTTCCCTCGAACCTACAAGGTGCTAGAAGCAAGTTCCGGAGCACCAGGAAGTTCCGAGAGGAGAAGCCTTTCGGCTCGGGAACGCTGCTCCAACAAAGCCCAGTTTTCGATAAACCCTACTGTAAGTGAGCTACGCCTACGCTATTTTTAATATAGCTTCTAATTAATTATGGTAACATTATTAGGATGTTAAAATAATTATTTGGGATATTATAATGAGTTATATAGTGTTGTTTAACGCTTATATAATAGTAATAACAGCTAGACTATTAAATTAGTCCTGGTAAATACTGAACTAAACCCTAGTGGTAATGATACTTGGTTTTGTTGAGGGAAATTGATTTAAGAGTAACGAAGTGCTGTCCGAGTACCGAGTCACCACCGTATCAGGTGAGTGCATAGTTACTTTTAGCTTACACACAGATATGAAGTATTTTATATAAATTATGTGCTATGTGTGCATATTATCTGAATACCTGTTGTTTATGCCAGATGAACGATTTTATACATGTTTTAAATGATTTAAACTATATATGTATTTTATATCTACGATAATGTTGGGGTAAAACATGGGTAGATGTAACAGATGGAATATGAGTTGGATGATGAGTTGAGAGGTGTTATAGACCACGAGGTGAGGGTGAGAGGTGGACGATGTGAGAAGCCTTTTCCCCAAATGATGACCCCGTCATTCAGCAAAGTATGTATGACAACCATAGACTATTCTAGACAGTCAGTGGAACACTAGCAGGCTCACAACCTGTAGGTGTTGTGAACGATGTGTTCACCCGTTGTACTCTAAACCTTGGTGACCATGCATACTTGATGCCTAAACCTTGGTGACCATCCGGACTTGGTGCCTAAACCGTGATGATCATGCAGACTTGATGCCTAAACCCTGGTGATCATGCATACTTGATGCCTAAACCTTGGTGATCATGCATACTTGATGCCTAAACCCTGGCGACTATGCAGACTTAGTGCCCGTTGTGTAAACCGTGACAATGATGGAGTTCGTGCCGATTCCTTTGGATGATCCTTAGGAATTAGTGAATGAGAAATAGTTGATTCTTAGGGTAGATCCTTAAGAATAAAGAAGATAATGGGGATGGGTAATCGGGTTGATTGCTTGATTGTTTAAACATAATATTTATATTATTATAGGTTGAAAACCCTATGTACTCACTAGGTTTCCCAACCTGACCCACTCAATTTATTTATATCACAGGTGTTGTTATGATGTCACATTACACTGAGAGATTAAGGAGATGTAAATACCTAGTGATAATGAATGTAAGTTCTGTTTATGCTTATGTTTCTGTATTCTTTTAAAATGAATAAAAATGCTTTTCTTCGAAAATGCTTTGATAACGTATTTATCATGTTTTACTGGGAACAAATTCTGCAACATTTTTATTAAAAAACGGTACTTTGATTTTAATAAAGCATAAACAAAATTGGTCTTTTCTGGCCGAGAGAATGGGGATGTCATAGTTGGTATCAGAGCATTAGTTTAAGCGAACTAGGAATGTGGATTTATTTCTAGACTTAAACTTAGAATGCTAAGCAATGATTGTGAGGTGTGAGCCCTATCTTATTTTAGGAATTATGCCTAAAATGGCTTTATGTGCTCAATGCTTTGTGCCTGATATGCTTTTATTTGTTTGAATCTATGGTCTGTTGCCGACCGGTTCTAGAAACCTTATGTGTTTAGGATTTAAACGTACGACTACGATATTAGAACTTGCATGTAAACGTTTCGGAGTGATAAGGATGATTTAAAACGTCTATCCTAAATAAAGATCTACATTCTCCTTATTTGGTGTATAGAGAAAGATGGCAAGGACCCATAGCGGAAACGTAAACACGAAAGGAAATAGGAACCAACCCCCTCAACCTCCAGTGATACAACAAATACCTGTTGTCGAAGAGGTGGCACCTGAGCCAATAACGATGGCCGGAGTGCAAGCGATGATCCAGATGATGTTGGATGGCTAAATGGAGGAAACAAGGCGTTTACTTCAACAGAACTAAGAAGAACTTACAGTACCAATTGAACATCCCAAGCTGAATGATGGACAGTTAGAAGGAGGAAACTACAGTGGGACTGTTGGTCAAGCCAAACCACCAATAGTTAGGCAAAACCACCAGGATAGAGGAAATGACGGACGTGGATGCAAATACAAGGATTTCATGGCATCCGGAAGCCCGACGCCGGTGGAAGTCATGAACTGGATCTTCGAGATGGAGATGATGTTTGAGAGTTGCGAGTGTAGCAACAGGCAAAAGACCGCTCTCGCGGTTCCTCTGTTGAAATCTGGACTACTAAGCTGGTGGAAGCTACTAGCTGATTCAATGCCCAAAGGAGAAGCGAGCAAGATGTCGTGGGAAGATTTTCTGGTGCAGTTAAAAATGAAGTAATGCTCTGAGCAGGATCTTCTGGAGATCAACAATGAGTTCCAGAATCTAAAGAAGGGAAGGATGAGTTTCATCGAGTATGTTGCAAGTTTTACGTAGAAAATGAACCTTGTTCCTTACCTAGTCCCAACCGAACTCTCCAATGTTAACAAGTTTGCCCATGGATTACCAACAGACTTTGGTCTAATGGTTAAGCAAACAACCACTTTGAAAGCTACCATCTGGGCAGCCAGGAATGTTGAGACCCAGATTACGGAAAAAGGTCTGGAGAGAGCTAAAGTTGGCGAGAAAAGGAAGCATGAAGGATCTTCAAAATCCAACAAAGAAGGGAAATTCTCAAAGACTGAAGAAGGAGGAGGAGGTGAAACCAAGTGGTGCGAGAAGTGTAAAAAGATGCACTTTGGGAAATGTAGCGAGGATGTGACTTGCTACAAATGTGGAAAGACAGGGCATTACGCCAACAAGTGTGCGTCAAACAAGAAGGTGTGTTATGGATGTAACAAAGAAGGGCATATTTCTAGGGACTTCCCGAGGAAAAATAAAGCAGCAAGACCAGAA